AGAATTATTCCATTTGACTGAAGCACTGAATAGATGTGTTGAAATGAAAGATGAGACTGGAAATGAGATTAGGGCTTGACAAAAAGGGACTTGAAGATCAGGAAAATAGAATTAGACATCTGTAAACCATACCAGAATTCTAGATTTGGCTTATGGTTTTACTGCCATCAAGAGTTTATAATTTGGTATACTGTGGGGTTTTTTGATCAAATTCTTAATAGATTCTATCTGGAAGATTGGAAATAATTTTTATTTTGAGGAAAAATCATATCCATCATATCCCCAGATCCCTTTGTATTATTCCTAATCAATTTAAATTAAAAAACAAACAAAAGTAGGACTTATTTCAACAACATCAATTTATTTTAACTCTGGGAAATCATATCGGTGTTTTCTGAGATTATTATTGAAAATTCAAACTGGGAAATCCATGTTTTAAAAGTATAGGAAGCCAAAGATCTATTTATGAACTACTTTCAATTTATATTTAGAATAATGTACAATAAAGAGAAATGATTCATTGCAAATAATACTATAAAATTATCCCATGTATAATTTTTTCAATGAGTCAATTTTATAATATCAGACAAACAAAAGCTGAAGGATTTCATCAATAACAGACCTGTCTTACAAGAAATGCTAAAGGGACTCCTTCAATCTGAAAGAAAAGGACATTAATGAGCAATTAAAAAAATCATCTGAAGGTACAAAACTCACTGGTGGCAGCAAGTACACAGGGAAAAAAAGAATATTATGTCACCATAATTGTGGTGTGTAAACTCCTCATCTCTCAAGTAGAAAGACTAAAAGATAAACCTATCTAAAATAACAACTATAACAACTTTTCAAGACATAGATAGTATAATAATAAATAGAAACAACAAAAATTTGAAAAGCATGGAGATGAAATTAAAGTGTAGAATTTTTATTCATTTTCTCTTTGCTTGTTTGTTATTTGTTTGTTTATGCAGTCAGGGTTGTCATCAGTTTGAAATAATAGGTTATAAAACATTATTTGCAAACCTCATTATAACCTCAAATCAAAAAATGTAAAACGGATACAAAAAGAATAAAAAGCAAGAAATTAAAACATACCACCAGAAAAAAATCACCTTCGCTAAAAGGAAGACAGGAAAGAAAAGAAGACCACAAAACTACTAGAAAAAACATAAAATAGCAAGATTAAGTCCTTACTTATCAATGATTACATTGAATGTGAATGGACGAAACTCTCCAATCAAAAGACATAGAGTGATCCTCCACTGATCAGGCCTCCAAGCACGTTCCCCAGGCCCCTATCCAGGTCTTCATCTCTCCCATTCCTGCCACTGCCACCTCTACCCTTGGAGAATGAGTTAACTAGGAACATGTCTCCTCACATCCAGAGGTCTGGCAGCCAGTTCTTCAGCAGAGGCAGAAGAGGTGGCAGAGTGGCCATGTGCTTCCTAGGTGGAATCATTATCTCCATCATGGAGGTGGATACACAGCACAACCCAGAGCCCCTGCCTCCACACACACATTGCTCCAACACTGAGGCCAACAAGAGTGTGGAGGTCCATCAGTTCTGGAGAGTCTTTGCACAGTTGGCTGGAGATGACATCAAGGTCAGTGGCGCAGAACTGATGAATGTTCTCAACAAGGTTATCAGTAGGACTGAACTGAAGACTCATGGTTTTGGCATTGATACATGTCAAAGCATGGTGGCCATGATGGATAGTGACATCACAGGCAAGCTGGACTTTGAGGAATTCAAGTACCTGTGGAACAACATCAAAAGGTGACAGATAATATACCAGCAGTTTGATGTTGACCGATCTGGAATCATTTGCACCAGTGAACTTGCAGGGGCCTTTGAGGCAGCAGGGTTCCACCTGAATGAACAACTACAACATAATATTCTGACACTATTTGGATGAAGGAGGGAACATGGATTTTGACAACTTTATCAGCTGCTTGATCAGGTCAGATGCTTCATTCCATGCCTTGAAATCTCTTTACAAAGATGACACTAGACCCCTCCAAGTGAATATCCAAGAGTGGCTGCAGCTGACAATGTGTTTCTAAATGGGAAACCCAGGCCTGCCCCTTCATGCCTTGCTATAGGAGTCACCTTGGAGCCTCAGCCTCTCCCAGTGCTGATCCCATTTGCAGTCACATCTTCATGGGTCCTGCTGACAAACGGGCCTTTTGTTCTTCAAGCCCTTGGCACCCAGCTTCTCGGTCAACATCCAGGGTCAAATGTGCCCCAACATGCCATGCCCTGAGTTGGCCCCGACTCTAAAACATGCTAACACGCTCTTCCAACAGTCACCCCACCCCACCATACCCATCTCACTCTCATGCCATAACCTCACTCTTGTATCTGTGCCAACGTCAACACTTGCATTGCTCGAATGCCCCAAGGGCCCTCTCTCAGTTCTGGGAGGACGACTCCACTCCCTACACACCCTGGTCCACGCATTCACAGTTACCACCCAAGCAGTCAAACATCAGGCTATTCCAGTCCCACATGTTCCAGTGGTTTCATCTGTATTCTGCTCCTAGTCTGCCAGGCCCAGGAGGAAGAAAAAATGTATGAAAAAAAGAAAGAGAGAGAGAGAGAGAGAGAAAGGAAGGAAGGGAGGAAGGAAGGAAGGAAGGAAGGAAGGAAGGAAGGAAGGAAGGAAGGAAGGAAGGAAGGAAGGAAGGAAGGAAGGAAGGACGAAGGAAGGCAGGCAGGCAGGCAGGCAGACAGGCAGGCAAGCAGGCTTATTTCACTTAACATAATGACCATGAAGTCAACCCAAGTTGTTGCAAATGATAGAATCTCATTCTTTTTGATGGCTGAATAGTACTCCATTGTGTATATGTAAGCATTTTCCTTATCCATTCATCTGTTGATTAACACTTAGGTTGTTTCCAAATCTTGGCTATTGTGAAGAGTGCTGCAACAAATGTGGAAGTGCAGATATCCCTTTGATATGCATATTTCCTTTTGGGGTGGTATATGCTCAGCAGTAGAACTGCTGGATCATATGGTAGCTCTGTTTTTAGTGTTTTAAGGAACCTTGTGATTTGAGCTCCTTATATATTCTGGTTATTAATCCCTTGTCAGATGGATAGTTTGCAAATATTTTCTCTTATTCTGTGGGTTGTCTCTTCACTTTGTTAATTTTTTACCTTTTTTAACTTAATATGATTTGACTTGTCCATTTTTGCTTTGGTCACTCAGGAAATCTTTTTCCATACCAATGTCAAGAGTTTTCCTAATGTTTTCTTGTAGTAGTTTCATAGTTTGAGGTCTTAGATTTAAAACTGTAATCCATTTTGATGTGATTTTTGTATATGGTGATAGATAGGGGTCTATTTTCATTCTTCTGCATATGAATATGCAGTTTTCCCAGCACCACTTATTGAAGAGATTTTTCTTTCCCTCATGTATGTTCTCCGCACCTTTGTCAGAAATGAGTGCTCTGTAGGTGTATGGATTTGTTTCTGGGTTCCCTAATCTGTTCCATTAACTACACATACGTTTTTATGCCAGTAACATGCTGTTTGGGTTACGTAGCTCTGTAGTATAATTTGAAGTCAGGTAATGATTCCTCCAGTTTTGTTCTTTTTGCTCAGGACACCTTAGGCTATTCTGGGTCTTCAGGGGTTCCATATAAACTGTAGGATTTATATGGAACCTAAATAATTTTCTCTATTTCTGTGAAGAATGTCATTGATATTTTGATAGGGAATTCACTGAATCTGTAGATTTCTTTTGGTAGTATGGACATTTTTTAAATGTTCATTCTTCAAATTCATGCACATGGAATAACCTTTCCATTTTTGTATACTCTTCAATTTCTTTCCTCAGTGTTTTATAGCTTTCATTGTAGAGCATAACTAGTTGAAGACGGAGGAAGGAACACATTTAAAATTCTCTGGAAATTATTCTAAGGGTAAACATCAAACTATGAATGCTGATTCACTGTGTTGGATATTTATTCACTGTTAGAATTAATAAGTAAATCAATATTGAATTCCTTACATGCAGCCAGGATGCAAAATACATCCTCTAAATCCTATTCCATCTTCCATTAATTGTCTAGTGAAAATATTTAATAAGAATCCAAAAAGAAAGTTTTCCACAATAAATTAAATGAAATATTTGGGTTGTGAGTGTAGTTGAGTGTTGATGAGGCAGGAAATTAAAGAAAAATACAATTAAAAAGAAAAAGAAATAAGTTTTCCTGTATTAGGCTGACTTGTCCCAGAGGCAGCAACAGGCACAGACCAGACCCAGGAAAAGTCTTCATAATGTTATCTAATGTGCTCTGGAGACTCTCCCAGCACTCCCTCAACATAGGGAGAAGAAAAACTAATTTTCCTTTGTTTAATGGAATAAGTTTTTAGATTCCTGTTCTCTGTAACTAGTGACTTCAAGTATTCTGTTTTATCTAAGAAGTAGAGTGAAGGTCATGAGAAGCCTGAGTAGGCCTGAACTACAGCTGCCTGGGCACCATAGTGAAGGTTATAAGATAAACCAGTATAAGGCTCTTTAGAGCAAAACCTAGATAACAGACATCTGGGTTGCTTGGCAAGGGTCATGTGCAATCCTGAGTTTGTCCTGCCTCTATATCCCTGCTTTCACACCACTGTAAGCTTGCTTCGAGCTAGCCCACCCACTTTTGTGAAGTGTGTATGAAAGTCAAGTGCTGTCTTTGCATGTGAGTCTGCCGGGGCCTGAGTGCACTCAATAAAAATTCTCTTGTTTTAACCCGAGGTCTCTCTCGTCCTCCTGGATCCTGCAACATTGATAAGTCACTGTCAGGCTAACATTTTTCATAATGAGCTACTTTGACAATACTTCCATAACTTTCTCAAATGATACAGATTTTGCCTCCTCTCTCGCTGTCACACACAAAACTTTTGGCCATACTGGGGAATCTTATGAGTCTCCCTTATAATTGCAAAACACTAGAAATTTTCGTTTATTTTGCCTCTTCTCTTGCAGACAAGGGAACACCCCAGACATGGCATCAGAGGTCCACATGACAGGCCCAATGTGCCTCATTGAGAACACTAATGGGCGACTGATGGCGAATCCAGAAGCTCTGAAGATCCTGTCTGCCATTACACAGCCTGTGGTGCCTGTGGTTGTGGTGGCGATTGTGGGCCTCTACCGCACAGGCAAATCCTACCTGATGAACAAGCTGGCTGGGAAGAAAAAGGGTGAGTGGCATGAGCAAAGCTCTGCCAAGTCCCTTCTGTCCATCTACACAGTCAGCATCCATTACGAGGATGTGAGGAGAGAAAGTTAGAGATGAGGATGAATACTGAAAGCTAACTTTCCATTCACAGTTGGTCTCCTTATCTTCACGCTGTTCCAGGGGATAAGATTAAATTCATTAATTATTCCCGCGATATGTTAGTTTCCCTTTCGAAAGCACAAATTATGCCTTTCATAAAAGGAGTAAGACTGCAATAAAAATAATTAATGCACATAATAATAACTACAATAAACTATACAATGTTTATTACAATTTTTATGCCATAACAGCGAGTTTACAGTGATCTTTAAGATTGAAAAAATGTTTCAGTCTGTATTGGATATTCTTTTTTATTGTTGTAAAAAAAAACATAAAATTTAACCTCGTAACCATTTTTAAGTGTACAGCTCTGTGACATTAATTAAATTCACACTGTTATACAACTGTCACCTCCATCCATATCCAGAACTCTTTCATCTTGCCTAACAGAAACTCTGTACTAAATAAACAAAAGCTCCACATTAACCCATTGCCTGCCATCATTCTACATTCTATCTCTATGAATTTGACTACTACAGAAAACTTATAAGTGGAATCATTCAATATTTGTCCTTTTATGACTGTCTTATTTCAATTCATATGTCTTCAAAGTTCATCAGTGTGTTAGCACGTGTCAAAACTCTTCCTTTTTAAGGCTTAGTAATTGTATGATAATTTGTTTATCTCTTCATCTGTCAATGGCCACTTGGATTGCTTCCACCTTTTGTCTATTATAAATAATGCTAATAGGAACATGAGTGTCTGAATATCTGTTCAAGTCCCTGCTTTCACTTCTTTTGGGAATATATCCAGAAGGGGAATTGTTGGCTTATGGAGTCATTCCATGTTAACTGTTTTTTTTAAAGAAATCACTGTACCATTTTCCACAGTGACTGTACCATTTTACATTCCCAACAGAAATGCACAAGGGCTCTAATTTCTCTACTTCCTCACCAACATTTTTTATTTTCAGGGTTTGGTTTGTTTTGTTTGATAGTGTCCATAGGAATGGATATTAAGTAGTATCTCGTTGTGGTTTTGATTTTGATTTCCGTAATGACTAGTGATATTGAGCATCTTTTCATGTGCTTATTGGCCACTTGTATATCTTCTTTGGGAAAATGTCTATTCAAGTCCTTTGTTCATTTATTAATCTGGTTGTTTATTTGTGTTGCTTTGTAAATTTTTGTATATTTTCTAGATATCAATCCCTTATATACATGTTTAGCAAATCTTTTCTTACATTCTATGTGTTGCCTTTTTTAACTCTGTTGATAGAGTCCGTTAACACACAAAAGTTTCAAATTTTGATGAAATCCAACTAATCTATTTTTTCTTTTATTGACTATTGGTCTCTTATTCAAAAAAATCATTGCCAAATCCAATATTATAAAACTTTTGCCCTTTGTTTTCTTCTATAACTTTTATAGTTTTAACTCTAATGTTCAGCTCTTTGATTCATTTTGAGTTCATATTTATAAGTTATAAGGTAACAGCCCAACTTTTTTAAGGAGATATCTCATTGCCTCAACATCATTTGTTAAAGAGACTCTTCTTTCTTCATTAAATGATCTTGACATCCGTACTGGAAATCATTTGACCATATATGTCAGAGTTTATTCATGGGCTGTTTTTCTATTCCATTGGTTTATATGTCAGTCTTTATACCAGTACCATACATGGTTTTGTAATACGTCTCAGAACCCAGAAACTGTGAGATTCCAACTTTGCTCTTCCTTTTTAAGATTATTTTCATAATTAGGGGATTTCCAGAAATTTCATATGAAAGTTATGGTGGATTTTTCTATTTATACAAAGTAATTGGCATGTTGGTAGGTATTACATCAAACCTGTACATCATTTTGGGTAGTAGTGACATCTTAAGAATATTAAGTCTTCCAATCCATAAACGCAGGATGCCTTTCTAATAATTTATGCCATCTATAATTTCTTTAAAGGGTGTTTTTTTTATTATTATTATACTTTAAGTTCTAGGGTACATGTGCATAACATGCAGGTTTGTTACATATGTATACTTGTGCCATGTTGGTGTGCTGCACCCATCAACTCGTCAGCACCCATCAACTCGTCATTTACATCAGGCATAACTCCCAATGCAATCCCTCCCCCCTCCCGCCTCCCCATGATAGGTCCCGGTGTGTGATGTTCCCCTTCCCGAGTCCAAGTGATCTCATTGTTCAGTTCCCACCTATGAGTGAGAACATGCGGTGTTTGGTTTTCTGTTCTTGCGATAGTTTGCTAAGAATGATGGTTTCCAGCTGCATCCATGTCCCTACAAAGGACACAAACTCATCCTTTTTTATGGCTGCATAGTATTCCATGGTGTATATGTGCCACATTTTCTTAATCCAGTCTGTCACTGATGGACATTTGGGTTGATTCCAAGTCTTTGCTATTGTGAATAGTGCCGCAATAAACATACGTGTGCATGTGTCTTTATAGCAGCATGATTTATAATCCTTTGGGTATATACCCAGTAATGGGATGGCTGGGTCATATGGTACATCTAGTTTTAGATCCTTGAGGAATCGCCATACTGTTTTCCATAATGGTTGAACTAGTTTACAATCCCACCAACAGTGTAAAAGTGTTCCTATTTCTCCACATCCTCTCTGGCATCTGTTGTTTCCTGACTTTTTAATGATCGCCATTCTAACTGGTGTGAGATGGTATCTCATTGTGGTTTTGATTTGCATTTCTCTGATGGCCAGTGATGATGAGCATTTTTTCATGTGTCTGTTGGCTGTATGAATGTCTTCTTTTGAGAAATGTCTGTTCATATGCTTTGCCCACTTTTTGATGGGGTTGTTTGTTTTTTTCTTGTAAATTTGTTTGAGTTCTTTGTAGGTTCTGGATATTAGCCCTTTTAAAGGGTGTTTGAAGTTTTCACTCTACAACTCTTTCGCCTGCTTGGTTAAGCTTATTCCTAGGTAGTTTATTCTTTTGATGCTGTTAAATGGGATTGTTTTCAAAATTTCCTTTTCTTTTTGTTTAGGAAGGAAATTAGAATTCCTGTTCTAATTCTATTTTTATACACTAGCAACTGATTTCTCCATATTGACTTTGCATGCTGCAAATTTGATGAATTCTTTTAAAAGTTCTAATAGGTTTTTGTGGAATATTTAATGTTTTCTACAAATTAGATACTACTCTCAGTAGACATATAATTTTACTTTTTCATTACCAATTAGGATGCCTCCTTTATGCTTTTCTTGTCTAATTACTCTGGACAGAACTTGCAGTGTTCTATGGAACACAATTGGCAAAAGTAGGCATCCTTCTCTTGTTCCTGATGTTATAGGAAAAGCTATGAAACTTCATCATTAAATGTGAAGTGAGCTGTGGGTTTTTAATATATGGCCTTTATTATGTTGAGGTACTGTTTTTCTATTTCTACTTTGTTGATTGTTTTTATCATGAAAGCCTCCTGAATTTTTCCATGCATTGGATATTCAAATTTCCTATTTCTTTGATTGTAACTAAGTAAGATGAATAGTGATTGTTGTTTCGGTTCTCTCCTAACCTTAAATATGCTACCTTTTCCTGTAACTACCAGAATTGCCTGTTACTAGATCTCCATCTCTGGTCTCCTCTCTCCCTTGCAGGCTTCTCTCTGGGCTCCACAGTGCAGTCTCACACTAAAGGAATCTGGATGTGGTGTGTGCCCCATCCCAAGAAGCCAGGCCACATCCTAGTTCTGCTGGACACTGAGGGTCTGGGAGATGTAGAGAAGGTGAGACTCAAGGATCCAATTGTGGAGTGAGTCCCTCTTCTCTGAATATTTTATGCACCATTTAATTGTTTATTAACTATTAACTACAGGCCATAATATGTGGGGTTTAACACAGATGCATAAAGGGAGCACAAATAATCCCAGTGTCATGAGTCTTATCCTGCAGAGAACTTTAGTTAAGAATTTGGGTGCTAAAGCCCCATGACTTTCTGTTTAAATTTAAATTCTGTCACCAATTCAGTACCCTGAGAAAATTGACTTATTTTATACTCAGCATTCTAATCTTTAAAATGTATGGAAAAGACCTATGTTGGCCACATAGAATTATTTTGAATATTTAATGAGATAAACAGTACATTTCAGGTGTAGATTAATTATTTGATAAAATAGCAACTAATAGTAGCAATCTTATATGTGAATTTTGTTATTGAGAAAAGATGAGAAAATTTTAAATTTACATTGTACTCATGCCTTAAAATGCCCACCAACCTTGAATTTTAATTTTACAATTATTTGTTGATGGTCATTAGAAGACTTAATAAGGATCATTGTAACCCAAAAACACTCATCGAAAAACTACCCAAAAGCGACATCCTACTGAGAATACTTTTTGTATTTGGCTTCCTTTGATATGCCATTAGTGCTAAAGAACAAACAAACAAAAAAGAACAAAAACCCTCTAATATATGAACATAGTTTTACTACTGTTACTCTAGAAAGTGCTGTGATGATGAAACTTGCTCCTGACTCCAGTATGTCTTGACTTCCAGGGTAACAACCAGAATGACTCCTGGATCTTCGCCCTGGCCGTCCTCCTGAGCAGCACCTTCGTGTACAACAGCATGGGAATCATCAACCAGCAGGCCATGGACCAACTGCAGTATCCTTTGTGACCCAGAACAGCACCAAAGTCAGAGGCGACACCTGTATTCATAAACTAGCTGCCTGACTGTGAATCCTGATGAATCAAGCTCAAGAGGAGAAAACAAAAAATAATGCAAGTACAGAGGAGAGATCCCATGTATCCACTTTAGAAATGACACTTAGGTTAGGAGCAAAGGAAAATGGAAAGTTTGGGAATGTGTTGAATATGGGATGAGGTCCCTGTTCATTTTGTCACATTTCCTTAGTTAGCTACTCAGCTATATGACAGAGCTGACACAGCGAATCCGATCAAAATCCTCACCTAATGAGAATGAGAATAAGGATTCAGCTAACTTTGTGAGCTTCTTCCCAGACTTCGTGTGGACACTGAGAGATTTCTCCCTGGACTTACTAACAGATGGACAACCCATCACAGGAGATAAGTACCTGACATACTCCCTGAGGCTGAAGCAAGGTAACAGACAGCTTCAACTGATATATGAGGATGAGAAAACAAAAGAAATTACCAGTTTTCAGTTTACTATTGCTAGTTTTCCCAAATTTGCAGTTTTCTATGTCTTCAACTGGCTATTCCTATAAATTCATGCTTGTTGAATATCTGAATTAATAGATTTTATTTTAAATTACGTTTGTCCTTGTTCTAAAACAAGTTTCATGTTCTTTCACCTATGTGTATGCTATGATTAAGTTAATTTTATCTCCCTGCCAAGGGTTTGTGATCTTCTATTTAGCCATAGAATGTGGAGTAAAATGGATATTTATTTAAAGAACATAGACTAAAACACGAACGTGTGCTAGTCCAAGCACTGGCAAACTACAGCCCAAGGCAAATCATGGCCAATCCTGCCTGCCAGCTGTCTTTGTAAATAAGATTTTCTTGGAATAATGCTATGCCCATTCATTTACAGATTTTCAAAAACTGTTGTCATACTCCAATAACAGAGTTGAGTATTTGGAAAAGAGACCACCCAGCCTGAAGAGCCTAAAATATTTACTATTTGGCCCTTTACAGAAACACTTATATTAGGCAATTTTATGATTTTTTTTGTTTTTCTAGGCACCAGTTAAACAGATAAAACTTTTCTTTTTTTTTTTTTTTTTTTTTTACCAAGCTCAAGTCCAACCTTCTCTGCCTACATCAATATTTACATATGAATAAAATGCTTCCTCAAATAGAGAACAATAGCTTCCACCTTTTAGGCTGTATTTTGTTTGTTTGTTTTTGTTTTTGTTTTTGTTTTTTTATACTTTACGTTCTAGGGTACATGTGCACGACGTGAAGGTTTGTTACATATGTATACATGTGCCATGTTGGTGTGCTGCACCCATTAACTCGTCATTTACATTAGGTATATCTCCTAATGCTATCCCTCTCCCCTGCCCCCTTCCCACAATAGGCCCCGGTGTGTGATGTTCCCCTACCTGTGTCCAGGTGATCTCATTGTTCAATTCTCACCTATGAGTGAGAACGTGAGGTGTTTGGTTTTCTGTTCTTGTGATAGTTTGCTGAGAATCATGCTTTCCAGCTGCATCCATGTCCCTACAAAGGACACGAATTCATCCTTTTTTATGGCTGCATAGTATTCCATGATGTGTATGTGCCACATTTTCTTTATCCAGTCTGTCACTGATGGACATTTGGGTTGATTCCAAGTCTTTGCTATTCTGAATAGTGCTGCAATAAACATACATGTGCATGTGTCTTTAGAGCAGCATGATTTATAATCCTTTAGGTATATACCCAGTAATAGGATGGCTGGGTCTCATGGTATTTCTAGTTCTAGATCTTTGAGGAATCACCACACTGTTTTCCACAATGGTTGAACTAGTGTACAGTTCCACTAACAGTGTAAAAGTGTTCCTATTTCTCCACATCCTCTCCAGCACCTGTTGTTTCCTGATTTTTTAATTATTGCCATTCTAACTGGCATGCTATTGTACACGAAGGTGCTGCTCAGGAGGACTGCCATTCTAACTGAGAGATGGTATCTCATTGTGGCTTTGATTTGCATTTCTCTGATGGTGAGTGATGATGAGCATTTTTTCATGTGTCTGTTGTCTGTATGAATGTCTTCTTTTGAGAAGCGTTGGTTCATATCCTTTGCCCACTTTTTGATGGGGTTGTTTTTTTCTTGTAAATTTGTTTGAGTTCTTTGTAGATTCTGGATATTAGCCCTTTGTTAGATGAGTAGATTGCAAAATTTTTCTCCCATTCTGTAGGTTGCCTGTTCTCTCTAATGGTAGTTTCTTTTGCTGTACAGAAGCTCTTTAGTTTAATTAGATTCCATTTGTCAATTTTGGCTTTTGTTACCATTGCTTTTCGTGTTTTAGATATGAAGTCCTTGCCCATGCCTATGTCCTGAATGGTTTTACCTAGGTTTTCTTCTAGGGCTTTTATGGTTTTAGGTCTAACATTTAAGTCTCTAATCGATCTTGAATTAATTTTCATATAAGGAGTAAGGAAAGGATCCAGTTTCAGCTTTCTACTTATGGCTAGCCAATTTTCCCAGCACCATTTATTAAATAGGGAATCCTTTCCCCATTTCTGGTTTTTGTCAGGTTTGTCAAAGATCAGATGGCTGCAGCTGTGTGGTATTATTTCTGAGGACTCTGTTCTGTTCCATTGGTCTATATCTCTGTTTTGGTACCAGTACCATGCTGTTTTGGTTACTGTAGCCTTGTAGTATAGTTTGAAGTCAGGTAGCATGATGCCTCCGGCTTTGTTCTTTTGGCTTAGGATTGTCTTGGCAATGCGGGGTCTTTTTTGGTTCCATATGAACTTTAAAGCAGTTTTTTCTAAGTCTGTGAAGAAAGTCATTGGTAGCTTAATGGGGATGGCATTGAATCTATAAATTACCTTGGGCAGTATGGCCATTTTCACAATATTGATTCTTCCTATGCATGAACATGGTATGTTCTTCCATTTGTTTGTGCCCTCTTTTATGTCACTGATCAGTGGTTTGTAGTTCTCCTTGAAGAGGTCCTTTACATCCCTTGTAAGTTGGATTCCTAGGTATTTTATTCTCTTTGAAGCTATTGTGAATGGGAGTTCATTCATGATTTGGCTCTCTGTTTCTCTGTTACTGGTGTATAAGAATGCTTGTGATTTTTGCACAATGATTTTGTATCCTGAGACTTTGCTGAAGTTGCTTATCAGTTTAAGGAGATTTTGGGCTGAGACGATGGGGTTTTCTAAATATACAATCATGTCATCTGCAAACAGGGACAATTTGACTTCGTTTCCTAACTGAATACCCTTGATTTCTTTCTCTTGCCTGATTGCCCTAGCCAGAACATCCAACACTATGTTGAATAGGAGTGGTGAGAGAGGGCATCCCTGTCTTGTGCCAGTTTTCAAAGGGAATGCTTCCAGTTTTTGCCCATTCAGTATGATATTGGCTGTGGGTTTGTCATAAATAGCTCTTATCATTTTGAGATACATTCCATCAATACCGAATTTATTGAGAGTTTTTAGCATGAAGGGCTGTTGAATTTTGTCAAAGGCATTTTCTGCATCTATTGAGATAATCATGTGGTTTTTGTCTTTGGTTCTGTTTATGTGTTGGATTACGTTTATTGATTTGCGTATGTTGAACCAGCCTTGCATTCCAGGGATGAAGCCCACTTGATCATGGTGGATAAGCTTTTTGATGTGCTGCTGGATTTGGTTTGCCTGTATTTTATTGAGGATTTTTGCATTGATGTTCATCAGGGATATTGGTCTAAAATTCTCTTTTTTTGTTGTGTCTCTGCCAGGCTTTGGTATCAGGATGATGTTGACCTCATAAAATGAGTTAGGGAGGATTCCCTCTTTTTCTGTTGATTGGAACAGTTTCAGAAGGAATGGTACCAGCTCCTCCTTGTACCTCTGGTAGAATTCGGCTGTGAATCCGTCTGGTCCTGGACTTCTTTTTGGTTGGTAAGCTATTAATTATTGCCTCAATTTCAGAGCCTGCTATGGGTCTATTCAGGGATTCAATTTATTCCTGGTTTACTCTTGGGAGAGTGTAAGTGTCCAGGAAATTATCCATTTCTTCTAGGTTTTCTAGTTTATTTGCATAGAGGTGTTTGTAGTATTCTCTGATGGTAGTTTGTATTTCTGTGGGGTCAGTGGTGATATCCCCTTTATCATTTTTTATTGCATCTATTTGATTCTTCTCTCTTTTCTTCTCTATTAGTCTTGCTAGTGGTCTATCCATTTCGTTGATCTTTTCAAACAACCAGCTCCTGGATTCATTGATTTTTTGGAGGGTTTTTTGTGTCTCTATCTCCTTCAGTTCTGCTCTCATCTTAGTTATTTCTTGCCTTCTGCTAGCTTTTGAATGTGTTTGCTCTTGCTTCTCTAGGTCTTTTAATTGTGATGTTAGGGTGTCAATTTTAGATCTTTCCAGCTTTCTCTTGTGGGCATTTAGTGCTATAAATTTCCCTCTACACACTACTTTAAATGTGTCCCAGAGATTCTGGTATGTTGTATCTTTGTTCTCATTGGTTTCGAAGAACACCTTTATTTCTGCCTTCATTTCGTTATGTACCCAGTAGTCATTCAGGAGCAGGTTGTTCAGTTTCCATGTGGTTGAGCTGTTTTGATTGAGTTTCTTAGTCCTGAGTTCTAGTTTGATTGCACTGTGGTCTGAGAGACAGTTTGTTATATTTTCTGTTCTTGTACATTTGCTGAGGAGTGCTTTACTTCCAATTATGTGGTCAATTTTGGAATAAGTGTGATGTGGTGCTGAGAAGAATGTATATTCTGTTGATTTGGGGTGGAGAGTTCTATAGATGTCTATTAGGTCTGCTTGCTGCAGAGATGAGTTCAATTCCTGGATATCCTTGTTAACTTTCTGTCTCATTGATCTGTCTAATGTTGACAGTGGAGTGTTGAAGTCTCCCATTATTATTGTATGGGAGTCCAAGTCTCTTTTTAAGTCTCTAAGGACTTGCTTTATGAATCTGGGTGCTCCTGTATTGGGTGCATATATATTTAGGATAGTTAGCTCTTACTGTTGAATTGATCCCTTTACCATTATGTAATGGCCTTCTTTGTCTCTTTTGATCTTTGATGGTATAAAGTCTGTTTTATCAGAGACTAAGATTGCAACCCCTGCTTTTTTTTGTTCTCCATTTGCTTGGTAGATCTTCCTCCATCCCTTTATTTTGAGTCTATGTATGTCTCTGCATGTGAGATGGGTCTCCTGAATACAGCAAACTGATGGGTCTTGACTCTTTATCCAATTTGCCAGTCTGTGTCTTTTAATTGGAGCATTTAGTCCATTTACATTTAAGGTTAATATTGTTATGTGTGAACTTGATCCCGTCATTATGATATTAGCTGGTTATTTTGCTCATTAGTTGATGCAGTTTCTTCCTAGCCTCGATGGTCTTTACATTTTGGCATGTTTTTGCAATGGCTGGTACCGGTTGTTCCTTTCCATGTTTAATGCTTCCTTCAGGGTCTCTTGTAAGGCGGGCCTGGTGGTGACAAAATCTCTAAGCATTTGCTTATCTGTAAAGGATTTTATTTCTCCTTCATTTATGAAACTTAGTTTGGCTGGATATGAAATTCTGGGTTGAAAATTCTTTTC